TTTAAAATATAAAAATTTTAAAAACAAATATTTTAGAAAAAAATATTCAAACAAATAAAGCAATTTTAACCAAAGTTCAGATCACTAAAAATGATAAAATAAGAAGTTAAGATATGTTTTTACCGCAATTAAAAAAAATACTTTTATTTCCTCGTTGTGTACTCATTGTTATAATTATAATTATATAGATAATAATACAAATAAATATATTAAATGGTAAAACCAAGCAAAAGAGGACCTTAGACTTCAGTGCTCTAGTGAAAATATGAATAGTGCTTATGAAATAGGGAAGATTTTTTATTTAGTTGGATATTTTTACATTGATAGGTTTTAAAAATAACACAAAAATACAAAATAAGCATGATAATTCGTGTTACAATAAGATGTAAACATAGCTAATACATCCTGTTTTTAATGCAATTCCAAATATAATCCTGGCGCCGAGATATCGTATTATTAAATCGTACTCTTTTACGTGGTCTATAGCATGACAAAATAGATAGGTATGTCAGCAACTTTGTGATACGCAACCTCTTTGTGATACTCTTCACCCCATCTATAGCTGGTTCGCCTCATTTCATTGGCCGAATATTTGTATGGTCATTTTCCATAAATATAGTGATATTATTATCATTTATGCATTAATATTTAATATTGTGCAAAAATAATTTGTAGCATATAGAGGAATAATGAAAAATTATGTATGTAATATACTTAATATTTAGAAGTGCTTTCATTGCATTAAATGATATATAATTTGCTTCACATTAATGTTTTTTTTTTTTTTATAAAGCCAAGAGGTTGATTTGTCAGCACAGTATCCTAATGCGAACTGGCCTAATGTTATTTGGTAATTTAATTTTACTTATTACATACATTTATTTATTAAGTAAATTTTTGTTTTTTAAATTTAAGTAAAAGTATGTAAGTGTATGAAGTTTTCAAAATATTTTAAGACTTAAAATAAACGCAGTTCATTTTATTTAATATACCCGGCATAATCATTTCATATCAAATAATTTGCAAATTGATCATATTTGTTTATATTGTAGT